GCGGCGCTCCGAGCGGGGTCATCTGGCAGTCTCCGGCCACCTAAATTAGGACCCGGAGACTGCCAGATGACCCCGCTCGGAGCGCCGCACACCGGAGCAGCAGTGACGCGACGCTCGGTGAGGTAAGTAAGAAGACACCTGGCGCTGACTCGAGTATAAGCCGAGGGGGGGGCACTTTTCAGCCAAAAAAATGGGCTGAAAATCTCAGCTTATACTCGAGTATATACGGTAATATATATTTTTATATACACACAATGAGTACACTGTGTCACTTTTTTATTAATGTCCCTCGCTCTCAAACAAACACATGGAAAATATAGTATACATGGATATTTCTATATTTATATTGCATGTGGTTGTGAAGTCAAGTTGCTGCAGCATAATTCTCTCTTAAAAACTAGGTTCCGCTATGTTTTTAGACACGATAATGAATTAGGGGTAACCCCCCCCTTTTTTTTTTGGGCATATGAAGGTAAAACTTTCTGGAGATATTAAATCATGATGGTAATATCCCCCTCCTCTACTCCCCTATATAGGTAGAGGAGACAGTACAGCGGAGGAGTTACCTATGCCTATTTTACTTAGTTTTTGCACTATATGGGGAACAGTTGCTGGGGCACTCCCGTAGTACATACATATCTCTGGATAGGGACGCAACCTAGCCTTGCTACTCCTTGGTGCCCCCACTCCCCATGTCACTTGGGTGGGGGGTCCTGTCCCCCTGGAGATGTCGATTTATATACGGCGGGAACTCGAGATAAAGTAGCCTCTTAATTTAAAATTTTTTTGTTTTTTTTGTTGTGTGGCCCTTGCCAAGTTCTACGATCCTTTCCTAGGATGGACGCCCTGGGACTTATTTGCCAATACGTATGTTTTTGTATCTAGTTCTGCGACAGCCTGCTGGACTGCTTTTAAGCGACTGGCACTGTGTAAAGGTTATAACTTGAATTTTATTTTTATGATGCCCGATTACCCGGTTTTTCTGCAGGGGGGAACCTGGTGCCACTGGTTTCTCTAAACCCTTCATAGGATGGCCGACTGGGTTGGAGTACCCTGTTGGGCCTTTTGGAAGACTTGCTTCTTCCCTTTAGGTTGTTATGTGTTGTTATTATCTCTTTGTCTTTCTTTTGTATGCTGGGCCCTTCTTTTCTACTCTTGCGGGCTCTTTTGTATCTGTTTTAAACTCTCTTTTCTCTTTGTCCTCTGTATTCCTCGGGCCCACAATAGCCTCTCCAATGCTATCTGGACTAGCTCCCAATGCTACCGATGACATTTGTCTCCCTGAATGTCCAGGGGTTAAATGAGCCGTGTAAACGGTCACAACTGGCTTATTATATGCATAAGAGACGTGCCCAGGTTCTCTTTTTACAAGAGACGCATTTCAAAGATCCAGTAGCACCGCGATTGTCATCACGGTACTACCCTCTGGTATATACCAGTAACAACTCCATTGCAAAATCCAAGGGGGTAGCCATCTGCTTTCATTCGTCAGTTCCCTTCCAACTTCTCCAGGTAAACCAGGACCCAGAAGGGAGGTACCTTTTTGTAAAAGGGATCCTTTCTCATAAGACTTTTACATTCGCAAACGTTTATTTACCTCACCAATCGCCAATCTCTGCTTTTCTCGCAATGCTCCACCGGCTGGAGACGTTTGCTGAAGGATTCATAATAATGGGCGGTGACCTTAACTTTCCACTTGACCCCTGGTTGGATACTTCCTCGGGACGGGCCTCTGTCTCGCCTACGCAACTAAATCGTCTTAAATCTCTTTTACATCGACTACAGCTGGTGGACGTGTGGAGGATATTACATCCCTCGCGACGAGATTATACTTTTTATTCTTTCCCGCATTGTTCACATAGTCGTATAGACTACTTCTTGGTGTCCCATTATCTACTATCCTGGGACTCCCGAGCCTCTATTGACTCACAGGTCTGGTCGGATCATTATCCCGTTTCAATGTCCCTACATCTCCCTGATCAACTTCCCCGACCATTTACGTGGCGCCTTAACGAGACTCTTCTACGTGATCCCACCACTGTGGAAGCTGTTACATTGGCCATGTCAATCTTTATTGACATGAAACAATGTAAAATCTGCGCTTCTGGACTGGGTGCGATGTGAGAGCTGCTGCGCTATGTTTTGTGAAGATGAAAAAGATTTTGAGTGTGCAGCGATATTGAAGTGAATAAAGTGTAATCCCCTCTTTGGGTATATCAAAAATTTATATAAATAAGTTATGAACAAAGTTAATCGATCCTAAAGGGTAGGGAATTCCGTAGAGTGAATATGCAGATTTGATATATATAGTGACAAAATAGTCTATTGTTTTCCAATGGCGGTGAAAAATATTTGTGAAATGCCACAACATAAACAATTGTTATA